AACTATCAGAAGGTTTCCCTGGACAGAAAATCCTCACTTTCATCCAATTCTCTAACTTTATCTTATCTTTCCACCCAGTTATCTTTTATTAAGTAATTATACTCACTGAGCTCTCTAGGCTGTGCTACCTAGTCTGCTGCTGCAAACTCAGGCTAGCAACTTTAAAACTAGCTACAGACTATTTTTTTTCACTCAGTTTTCAGACTTGTGAAACTTCTGATGTTTAGAGGTCTGTGTCTGTAACAATATTAACACATAGCTTTCTTCTCTTAGTTATCTTTAACATACACCTTAGAAATTATTCTTGTTCCTTCCTGGAACAGATTGGCAATGTTCTGTAGATGACAGTTTTCAAGGTTCAATGTAGATGCGTGATACTTTACTGTGAATTACTTCTTCAGTTGTTTTTTTTTTTTAATTACATTTATTTCATCAGTGCAGTATTTTTGAGGAAATGAAAGATCAGATTGATGTGAAGTGTAAAAAAAAAAAAAAAAAAAAAAAAGCCCACCCTAATCATATCTCTGGAACTGTGAGGTTCTGACCATTTCAGGCACTTTTATAATAATCAACACATTTTTGTTATTTTTAAATCTTTGCTTCCTTTCAAGACTAATATTTTAGTCTCTTTCTTGTAAAATAGATACAAGCACAAGTCTTAATTGTTCACAGCTGAAATAGAATTCCTATTACCATTTTTATCAGAGTTGCTCTACAATTCTGTAGCAACCGAGTTGCTCTGTTCAGACGTGGATATTAAACTAGCTGCATAAGAATATTCATCCTTGATGCCATTAGCCTTGTGTTTTAACACTCATGGGAAGCTATCAGTCTTCTGATTAAATGTTTGTGAAAAATATATGCAGAAAAATTAAACATTACATTAAAATGTCCAATTCTAAATATTCTAGGATTTTTCTACAAAATAATTTAAAAAAAGTTTGGAAATACCATTACAATGATGTGTGGCAGTTTAAAGGGTAGTTCATTTGCTTTCATCACCCATGGTCTTAGAGGCTGCCTAATGTGACAGCTAGGGTTACCATAATGGATCAGCATGATACATCGTAGTTGTTTGCCAAGAAAGGAAGTTTGTAGGCAAAAACTCACTTTAGCCGAAAAGACGTTCCTGCCCAAGCCTTTTCTCCATAAGAGGGCAAATCTGCTCTAGTCATCACTGAAATATATTTTCCTCTTTCAGTTTCATACAATATTCTCACAAAAGTCAAATACCGTGTTTTAAGTATAATCTTGTATACAATATATAGATTTTTTTAGTTGTTGTTGTTTTGTTCACAAACTCTTGGCTGTTGCTCCCTGGATATTACTTATGTAATTCTACTAGCTATATAAATTGAATAGAGTTCTGCGATGCTGTCGAAAGGGACAGTCCTACTTTCTTTCCATCTTGTATTTCTAAGCCATGTTTTGTGGAAACACTAGGCTTCACGCAGCCACTAGTGAAATATGAGCACACTGATGAAGCTGAAAAATTACTAGCTGCAAATGTTGCATCTGTTTGATCTGATTACGTCACTACTTTTACTAAGAGGAAAAACTACCTAGTCAAGAACATGTAGATGCATGTGTGAGAAAGGAGGGGCTGCCTTTTCAGTAGCAGTGGATTTGTGCTGGGTTACACTGGTCATGAAAGTACAACACTTCTGCAAAGCAGAAAATCTTACTTTAATTAATGCCAGTGGGAAAACACCCTTTTACTTCAGTTAAACCAGGGCTGTATGCAGAAGACTTGTGGATGTTTCACTATAAAATGAAATGGAAATTCAGCAAAGTAAAAGCAGTAGTATGATTAGGTTTTTTTCTTTCTTGAGTTTATTATTAAATTATTAAAGTCAGAATAAGTCATGAATCACGCTTCCCACATTCTATGTACTCATGTTCTCTTGTATTCAATATAATGTTAAATTATAAGGTATGTCTTAAATTAAGAGGCCGCCACTGCACCTTGCTCACTAATAAAAAAAAATAATAATCTAAAAGACTTCAAAGAAACATTGCACTTCTGTACACCTTTATTGTTTATAGTAAGTGATAAAACTTCCAAGATAAATTGCATAGAAAAAAATCCCATGGATTAAATAGAGATTTGAAAAGCCTTCAGTAAATCATGAGCTCTAGTTACATTTCATTCTTTTATTTTTGAGAATTTGGCTTCATCATTTCCTCTGTGCTTCAGTGATAACATTTGATTGTCTGCATTGTGTGCAAAGGGGACAGAATAAGACAATCTGTCCACAAGTGATGAAAGCTACTAATTATTTGTACATATAGCAGGGTGAAAATAGACTACCTGACCAAAGAAAGTTTGCATGTGTTTCTACATAGTGAAACACCAAGATATTTCAAAGCTGTATTTCCAATACAACAGTTATGGATTCAGGCGTAGACCCTTCAGTGCTGTCCTTCCATTTGAAAAGAAAAAAAATATTTGCACACCTAGCAATAACAATGCATAATTCTTTGGGCAGTTCTTTTCAACAATTGTTTCAAACAGTAAATTACCCTTGTTTTATGTGTAGGGAAATTTAAGTGTGTATTGATGATTTGCTATTTGACTTATTTCTGTCAAAGGGGAGACCAAAGACAAGCTCTGGTTTTTTTCTGGTCATTAGCCTACTGTATCTCCTTCATCAATGTTTAAGATTGTTCATGGTCATATATTGGTTAAATGATAGTTTTAACCAATATAAATACAGTGTGCCTTCATAGGTGTCAGAGCTTTTCTTCAGTAAGTTACCCTAGCTGCTGAACAAAAGAATTGCTCCATGGTGCAGTTCTAGCTTTTTTTCCTCTTCTCCCCCAACCCCCTCCCCCAAGACTTTATCCTACAAACTGACAAGAATGTTCTTCAGTTTAGTCAACCTGTTCTACAAGTCTCTATTTGAATTACATTTTATGCACTAATAAGAAAAATTAGAGGGATTATTCTACAAAGCCACTAGATCTTGAATGGTTTTACAGGTTTTTATCACTTTACAATTTGATGTTTGGGTTTGTTTTTTTTTTTTCTTTTCAAATTAAGCAATTATATTGAAAAAAAAAAATCCCCTTTGCTGAAGACCTTACTTCAAGCTTTAAAGAGCAAGTAACTCTTCAATAGTAAGAAATCTCCTCTGACTATCTTCCAGTTAAGAAATGTCCTCTCTTCACCTGAGATAAGTTTAATTTAGAAGTTTGTGGAGAAATCAAGACCTTGGGCAGGCATAATGTGTGTTATTAGGTGACATCTCTAGTACTTTGTTGAAACGTGTCTGTGTGTCTGAGCTTTACATCAGCAACATCAACCCTACTTATCTCTAAGAAATAATGAACAAAGCAGCTTAATGTTTATAAAGTTTATGCTGTGTTCTAAAAGTTGAGAAATCAACTAAAATAGATATAACGAATACAGTCCTATTTTCTAGGCTGCTCACTGTTTTATTTATTTAGTTGGATCATTTTGGCTTTATGAATGAATTCATAAATAGGTCTTAGCTATACACTATGAAACCATTCTGTGGAGAAGTCTTTTTACATCATGTTCATCTTTATATAATAAACAATATGTAGAGATGTATCTTATTTGGAATGGGGTAACAGGGTTATTTCCCTGCCCCTAAGAATTTCTGGTAGTAGGTCATGCAACAAGAAAAAGACTCAACCTTGATCAAGCTTTGGCAGCAGCTGTTCTACATCTGCGTAATGTTGTTGTGGGGGTTAGTGGTGCTATACCAGACAGCGATAAGGGAGTTGTAGTCCTTTACTGTCCTTTTCTTTCTCTTCTCTCATATCCATACTTGACTACAACAGTTCTCCAGAAGCTTCTAACAAATGGCAAATAAATGTTCTGGAAAGCACTGCAAAGTTGAAAACAGCTGGGAAACTGGAACCATAAACTGCAAAAACTTCTATTCAGCTGAAATGAAACACAACTGAATGATAATGCTAACAGTATCTACTCTTCAGTATTTTGTTTACTGCATTGGCGTTCTACATTTAAACTACAGGTGTTAACACTAATCGCTGTAACATAAACATGAATTTTTTACAGATGGATGTTGGAATAGAGAAGCAATTTTTTTACTTTAAACAACTAAGTCTTCTACTGGTATAGTAAAGACTTTTAGTTGTTTTTTTTGTTTTTTTTTGTCTTAAGATACTCAAGAGGAAAAAACAAGGTATAAGTGACTAATCTCTACAAACTGTCCGCATGAATATTTTCTCAGCACTGGGGTGGGAAAGCAATTTCTGAGACATTGGTTTTCCTCTGGGCTGAATGAGTAATAGCAGATAAATAATGAAAAGTAACAAAACAAGATCTACTAACAGAGTCATATCATCATGATGTAGGCTATACAGTACAGTAGGATAGTGCTACCCTTTCAAAAATAATATAAGAATATACTTCCTGGACAGCTTCTGGAATGCAGAAAGGAAAATAAAGCCCCTTATAAAAATGCTTGATTTTTCTCATGAAACAAAGAAACTCCAAAGGTCAGGGGTTTGGTGGCTTTTGTTTTTTGGTTTGGGTTTTTTTGGTGTGTGTGTGTGTGTGTTTGTTTCTTTTTGCTTAGGTAGGCAAATTATAAGGTAAGTTTTGCACGTGAATCTGTGATTGTGGTTCTAGACAAATACTTTCCTCTTACTAGACATTAAAAACATATATTGATTCAATTTAATCTTGTCTTGAAGGAAGAAAGCTTTTGCCTAGTTTCTCTAGACTCAAAAATTTTTGAGAGCACTATGATTATTTAATGACACTTCCTTTGCTAGCAATTCATGGTCAAGTAATAAGTATGTCTGTTTATGCTCTACTCAAAAAGTAGTACATAAAATATATTTTAATAACTATTTCTTGTTGATGAAGCACGTTTCTAAAACATCAACAGTATTATTAAGATTATCTCATTATTATAGCAGTAAAATAAACTACTGTTTGAGCTTATTCATATAATTTAATTGAGGGAAGATAAATTATTGTCTTTCTTTGTCTTTTTTAGGAGTGAAATTAGATTATGAATCAAAACATGAATTTAGGCTCCATTCAGAAACTAATGGAAGAGACGCAGGTTTTTGGGACCCAACCAAGACAACCTTATAAATTAGCTGGAGGTTGCCAAACAACTGGCCATCTGTGTAATTCAAATCTGCCATCTCAAAGTTTCTACCCATATTCACCTCATTATCCATACATGCATACAAATTACAGCAGTGATTGGGAAATTTTTGAAGCAGTAAGAATTCAGGAACTGGAAGAAGTCAAAGCCAGAGCTGCCCAAATGGAGAAGACCATGCGCTGGTGGTCAGATTGTACCGCGAACTGGAGGGAGAAATGGAGCAAAGTTAGAGCAGAAAGAAATAAAGCCCGAGAGGAAGCAAGACAATTGAGAATCAAATTAGACAGTGTTGTAAAAGAACTGAGTACGCTTAAAAAAAAAAATCACGATTTAGTAAGTGAGAAGAAAAATGTAACTGCTTGGAAAACAGAATTCAGTTGCTCAGAAAAATCTTGTATTAAAAAAGACCTAAACCAGTTAACATTTCTGGAACAAGAACCTGTGAAAGGACTGAGCAAAACCAATGAAATTCCTGGGGCAGAAGACACAAAGAAGGTAAAGAATGGGGAATTTTTTTTTAATTCATGAAGAAGTTGGAGATTATGGATGTGTATCGAGAAATTGAAATTTTCAAGCATTTTGACCAAAATATTACTTGACCCATTCAATAGTAAACCCACTTTTTTCACCTGTCTAAAATTCCTAATATAGAGAAATACAGAAAACATTTCATACCCTTCAACTATGGCTAAACATTTAAGTAACAAAGGCAGACTGTTATATCCAATAACTTAGAGTATTGTTCTGACTCTCTCTCATGTTTTAAGGTAACAGATTACCTCTGTTATCTGAATTCTCCGTGTTTTGTGTACTTTTTTTTTTTTTACCTCCAAAAAAGCAATGTTGGTTCCTGGCTTCTAATTTAAAATCATTTCATTCTCCCTTAACGCAACTTCTGGAATGAGGGAAGAGGTGAGGCAAATTCTTCTGCAAAGTGGCAAGATTTTTATTTGGCAAGGAGAGCAATTACGTTGTTATGCAGAATTAAACAATCAAGTATGGGCATGGTTTAATACAGCTTCTAGTTCTGTACAACAGAACCAATTACATTCATCTAAATGGAACTATTTTCTCATGTTTTACCAATTTTAATTCTGTGCCTTGGCACGTATTCTACAGTCTTCATAGACAGCATTGTGTAAAAACTATACTTGTTAATTTTCTGATAGATAGCAGTCACTGTAGATGTAGGAAATTTTTTTCCTATGTTGTAGGAAAGATGTAGGAAGATTTTTACTTCAGTTCAATGAAAATTATAAAGATTTTAGGCCTGAATGTATTACATTCAGAATTTTCACTTACTCTGTAATGCACCTAAATTACATTATATTCCTGTGAATTCTGAAAAAAACCATTATAGTGTTAGTAGTGAGGATAAATTTGGCAAAAAAATCCATGCCTTTCATGCTTTTGGGCAGACAAATGGGCCATAGGAAGGAAATGACACAAAATATATTTTAACTCTTTCTCTTTCTTTTTAGTATAAAATAATGCAATACTTTAAAACTGAAACTTTATGAATGGAAAACAGTCCTATCTTTTCAGCAGCTTCTAGTATTTTCTGATATGTATTTCAGGCATTCTTCTAAAAACTCAAAAGAACAGAGTGGCATGAAATAGTACCATTGGTAATCTGCTAAAATGAGATTAGCTTTTAAACACAATTCGTCAGAGGTGATAAAACTTAAATACATTTCTAAAGGAAACTATTGTTTATAAGAGATATTCAGTCTTCCTAATAAAGATGTATTTTATTTTTCAATGATCTTTTTCTAATTGTTATTAGTTTTGCTTATGTTTTGTATGCAAAGCATGTATCTTCAAAATAGATATTATAGTGCTTTTAGTTTCTGAATGGGAACCAAATTGGTATGTTATGCAGGTAACTTTGGTCCTTATACAAAACTTGTATACGTCCCTCACCTGCTTCAACATGATTTACATTAGAAGTTTAAGAGTTCTAATGTAGAGTTTCTCCATATATTATTTGTATGCATTAATTGCATTCCTCGTTTTTTTAGTTCCAGGATTCTGTCTTCACGATGGTTATAGCCAACTAATGATAATTGGAATCTATTTCTTTAGTAAAGATACATTAGAAATATTTTGGATATGAAGCTTGTCATAACAGAGGGTGTGAGATGTCACAAAATGACAGTGATCTAACTACAATGACTTTTTTTGTACATTCTCTCCATATACAGTGCAACTGTATAAGATGTTACTTATTTCGTTTTTTCTCCTATGTGACTTAAATGTCTAGAAGAGCCTTGGTAGGCCCTGCAGAAGTTATGTTAAACTCTTCCCTTCATTTATATTTTTCTCAGATGTCATATTTTTGTTTTCTCAGGATGTAGAGGTAATCAAAGACCAAAGCAATCACAATAAAAAAATCACTCCAAAGACTCCTGATTCCTTTCCCAATGGAGTTCCCAGCATCTGTTTGGAGGACCCTAAAAAAAGTTTGGACAGTACAGCTAAGACAACAGAGAATGATTTAATACACGTTTCAGCCTTGCGTTTGCATTTGGCTGAGATGCAGAAAATCTTACAGAAGGAAAGAGAGTAAGTGCAAAATATATACTACTTGGGGAAATCTCTATTAAAAATAAAGGCTTTTAAGACACTTTCTAAAATAGATATGGTGATATTTGTATTTATATCTCATATGTTCTAATTTCTAAGCTTTATTAATTGCTATTTACAAGGCTTTGATAAGAATTTAGAGATGAAATTCAACATTGTGTGTTTAGTGTTTTCCTTGGCTTGTCTGTCATTTAAATAAGAAGTGCTCCATACAGAACTGTTAAGAATGTACAGTTAATTAAAAAAAATTATACTTGCTAGCAATTTGGTATCAATGCAGTGGTATTTAATGTACGTTATGCTCAGTTATTGGAATGCTTTGTGCATAATAACAAATTTTCATATAGTCTACCAGCAGACTTTGAAAGAATCCAACTGCAGAATGACTAAAGCTGTTTTTGAATTAAAAGTACATGAATACAGCTGCAAAATGCTGTTAATCTTAACCTCTTCACTTCTAGTAAGGTCTATGTCAAAAGCAGATGGCAGAGAGAGAATAACACGCTTATTGTATGCTTATTGTACCATATCAAATTTACCTCACATAAATAGTAAGCGTGCATTTTGGTGGCCTAAAAGAAGTCATGTGTGGATTACACACTATATGCTAGCATGTGAGTCTCTGTACTGGTAGGAATTCCTTGATGTTTCATACCGATGATCAGTATTGAGCAAGATTGAATCACACCAAAAAGGCTTTCCAAGGAAACACGCAGTATGTGATGTATGATGGATGTAGTAGGAGACTTCAGGCTCTATGTGACTGTAACTTCAAAAACAGCTGAAGTTAACTAGAAAATGAAAAGGAAGAAAATGCCCCCTCTGTTGCAAATACATTCAACAGTTTCAGTTCAGGGAGTCTGTGATGGTAAGCTATGATGAAGAACTTCTTTCCTGTCAGATTTTTTCACAATTGTCCTGTAGATACTACAAGGCAGAGAGAAAAGAAAAAAAAAAAATCCTTTAAATTCCTAACTAGTATTTACTGTGTTCTGTTATATAAATTAGATAGCTGTAGAAAACACAATAATTCTTTCTTTGAATCATATTGCAGCAAATGACCAGAAGTATGTTTTATCTCATTAAAAAGGATTTAGTGTTTTGTGGAAACAGAAATCCCATAATGGCTAAATTTTCCAGTTTGTCATGGTATTTCATGTGAATTGAGAGACTGATGCCTCATGCATCCATTCTCCTCTGGTTGAAATATTTAGGGTCCTAGGTACTTAATTTTTCAACAGCAATCATACATGCATATATAAAACTTTCCATTTAAAAAGGTGATAACTTTTCAACTCTTATTTTTTAATCACTTCTTAGACAAATTGTTAATAAACCCTGGTTCTACCTCCTGGGTTTGGTTTGTTTGTTCACGTGTTTCTCTAGCCAATTTGTAACTATATGTCAGAGAGACAGATTTTGCCATTTATCACTAGATTTATACTGACTATGGTATACAGTAATAAATTTACTGGCACATGGTAAGGACTGAGGCATGTCTACATGGTGCAACATACGGCAGTGCCAACCTCAGACAGCAAATGCTCATAGAGCAGGGGTTTCCACATAACAGCGGGCATTGGTGTAACAACTCCCTCTCTAGGTCACTTTGAGCAACATTTCCCATGTGCAAAGATGTTCTGTAAGCAGAATATATGCAATTTAAAAGTATGAAGCAATTATTTTTGGCAATGCACACAATAAATAGCTAGGAATAATATTACTAGGATAAGCATTAACATAGTCACCAGTCTCCTGAGACACTCTATAAGTCTTTGTTGGACAGGTTATCATCTGCAAGCTCAGAAAGGGTTGGTCTGCATTGCTTACTGGAATGGGCTTATTTTGCTGAGTTTCCATCTTCAGATTCCCAGTTTGTCCTCTTAGGGTTTTATACTTGTTCATGTCAGTGTTTTTGCTCCTGGATTATGGAGCTGTTAATAATGACTATCTCAACAATCTCACCCCTGTTTGCATTTTTACTTTTCTTATCTTGCATGGCTCTAGCTTAAGTACTTTCTCACAGCTTCTTCCTCACAACTTAGCAATTTTCTCAGTAAACTTGAGCCAAGGACACACAGCTGTGCTGCATCAAAAGCAAGCTTGGATCACAGACAGCTTGAACCCCAAGGCCAAAGGTTACCTTGGCAGTCAGTATGATCTTACTCATACAGCACAGGACTTCTCAGCAGAGTTTTCTGGTTTACATGCAGTACTCTCAAACTGTGGCCGCATTCTTTCCAGAGTCAATTTAGCTCATGCGGATCCAGTGTTTGGACTTGCCCCTCGTTACCTGACTAATCTCTCCATAAGATGTTTTGCTTCTTCACCCTGAGAAGACCTATGCTTCTTGCATTCTGTTTAGAGCTATCTTCAGTAATGTCAATATACCCTTAAGCCATGGATCAGGCTTTGCAAAACACAAAAAGAAAGGAGCTCTAAAAAAAAAAAAAAAAAAAAAAAAAAGCTCAATGTTTATGTTTTGACTTTCAAAGAACTTCAGGGTTGGGTTTACAATATAAAATCACACACCAAAATCCTCTACTAGGCACTATGGCTCATATCAAATACACATTTGAGGTCCCATTGGCATGAACGGGAATTAAAGACCTTATGAGTTGTTCAGCACTTTAAAGAATCATTTGCCTAAAATAACTATCTTTAGTCATCTTTTGGGCCAGTGTTCTCATCTAAATGTCTTCTAGTTTCAAGATCTTAATTTGTTTCATTTTGAACTTAAAAGTGTTTCTTTGGTCTAAAACCAAAAGCCTACCAACTACACTGGTAGTTGATAATACTGAAGAGGAATTGCTTAGGGTTGGATGGGTAGACTTAGGCAATGTACACAGGAGGCTCTGTCTGAGCACCAAGAAACAGTTTTTTTTCTGTGAAGGTGACGGAACACTGGCACAGGTTGTCCAGAGAGGTTGCTGAGTCTGCATCCTTGGAGACATTCAGACACTATCTGGACATGGTCCTGAGCAACCAGCTCTAGGTGACCCTGCTTGAGCAGGGGGGGTGGACCAGCTGACCTCCAGAGGTCCCTTCCAACCTCACCCATTCTGTGATTTGACTAGATAATAAGGAGTTAAAATAGGTGGTTACAAGATTCATTAAAAATGCTCTGATCTTGATCTTTTGTTTAAGTATTAGTAAGCTGCTTCACTGATCTCTGCTATATTCTTTCTTCCACTCTGTGTTTTCTTTAGTTAAATAGTAAACTTCATGTAGTTAGGATCATCTGTTTCATTTAGTAGCATCAGAGGGACCTGATCTCACTTAAGAGGTACTGTAACACAAAAAAAAAGTAGTATCTTCTAAGTAAGCACCACATACTGGACATTCCTCTTTTACTTTTCAAATTAGACCATTTCTAAGGACTTTCAATGCTTTCATACAGTCAGTAGACTATTGTTCAAAGTATTAAACTGTCATCTTCCATGCTTTCACTTTCTACAGTATTAAGCATCCCTCTTAATAATTCTTTTAGTTCCCCAATGAAGTCATGACACCATTCCACTGAAATATCCCATTATTTCAGAAGAAAAACTATTCAGTTGAAATGCATGTCTTAGGTTCTTTACATATGACAGAAGTAATTTTGCTCCACTTTGCTTTGTGAGTGATGGTGTTTATTTTATTACTATAATGTTACGGGAGCCATAGGTGTTTACTAAGATAAGCTGTGCTATGTCCTATATCTGTGCAGAAAAAGGAGATCCCTGGTTCAAGAGCATTAAATTCAGTTGTAAAAGAACATGAAGATACTTCACTCAAGTGGATTGCTTCATTAATGTAGCTAACATTGCTTCCAGGACCTGAGCCAGACCAGTCAGTGGTAACTCTTGGTATCTCTGCGCAAGCCTGCAGTACGCTGCACAGACATGCCCCAGACAAATTTTATCAATACCTTTTGGTTTAATTCCTTAAAGTTAACAATACTGTTATGGAAGATAAACTTTAAATCAAATATTCTCAGAATGTAGCTATAGTCAGCCTGGCAGTAAAAATATTGATGAATTCCATTAGCCTCGCAAGCCTGCAGTACGCTGCACAGACATGCCCCAGACATTTTTTATCAATACCTTTTGGTTTAATTCCTTAAAGTTAACAATACTGTTATGGAAGATAAACTTTAAATCAAATATTCTCAGAATGTAGCTATAGTCAGCCTGGCAGTAAAAATATTGATGAATTCCATTAGCCTCATGTCGTGGTTTAATTTCAGTTGGCAAAGTACCACGACGCAGCCGCTCGCTCACTCCCCCCCACCCGGTGGGATGGGGGAGAGAATTGGAAGAGCACAAGTGAGAAAAACTCGTGGGTTGAGATAAAAACAGTTTAATAATTGAAATAAAATGATAATAATAATAATATG